GATGAGGGTGACTGTTACAGGTGTTTCCCGCCCGACCCGGGCATTGAGACTGCTGCTCTAGGTACTGGTGAGGTTGCTGCTCTAGGTGCTAGCGAGGCTGCTGCTCTAGGTGCTAGTGCGTCTGCTTCCTCAGGTGCTGGTGAGTCCGCGCTCTCAGGTACCGAGTCGGCTTCGGCCTCCCTCACCTTCACCCTTGACTCTCGGGCGTCTCGCTCCTTCTTTCGGGACCGCACCACACTCACGCCGCTTGGTCGGCCAGTTGCGGTCTCTCTGGCATACCCCTCTGGGGGTCCTGTCCTTGCTCACTTCTCCACTGTCCTCCCATGTCCGGCGGCTCCCTCTGGCACCCTGTCTGGTCTTTACCTCTCCTCGTTCTCTACGAACTTGGTGAGTGGCGCTGACCTTCAGGATGGGAGAGTTCACCAGTTCACTCCTGCGAGCCAGCGGGTGACCCACTGCACTAACGCTCGGACGGGCTGACACTTGGCCACGTTTACTCTTCGGCCGGGGTCGAGCCTGTACACACTATCCACTACGTCTCCCTCTGTCCCTGCGTCTGGTCAGGTAGCTACTTCGGGTCAGGTGTTTATCGCAGCGTCCAGGTCTGGTCATGAGTCTGCCCCCTGCTCGTGTCGCCGCCTGTCTCACGAGACTCTTCTTTGGCACCACCGCCTTGGTCACCCCTCCCTGCTTCGTCTCCGAGGCATGGCCTCTCGTGTCCTTGTCTCTGGTCTTCCCCGGTCCCTCCCTCCCCTTCCTCCGGGGCCTGGCCCTACCTGTGTCCCCTTTGTCGAGGGGCGGCAGCAGGCTGCCCCTCACACCTCCCTGTTTCCTCCGACAGAGGCCCCGCTGCAGACGCTTCACATGGACGTGTGGGGCCCGGCCCGTGCCGTGGACAGGGTCACGAGCGCTACTTCCTGTTGGTGGTTGACGACTACTCGCGTTACACCACAGTCTTCCCCTTGCACAGCAAGGGTGATTTCACTGAGGTGTTGATCGACTGGATCCGCGCAGCTCGTCTCCAACTCAGGCAGAGCTTCGGCTCGGACTTTCCTGTTCTGCGTCTGCACTCTGACATAGGCGGAGAGTTCTCCTCTAGCCTTCTGCGAGCCTACTGTCGTGCACGAGGCATCGCTAGACCTTCAGGCTTCCGGACTCTCCACAGAAAAATGGGATTGCTGAGCGCCGCATTGGCATGGTCATGGACGTCGCTCGTACGTCCATGATGCATGCGGTTGCCCCCCATTTTCTGTGGCCGTTTGCGGTTCGGTACGCGGCGCATCAGATCAACCTTCACCCCAGGGTCTCCAGGCCGGAGAACTCCCCAGCCCTGCTATGGACGGGGAGGGTTGGCGATGCGTCTGCGTTCCGTGTCTGGGGATCTCATGCGTTTGTCCGCGACTTGTCTGTGGACAGGCTGTCCCCTCGTGCTGCTCCTTGCGTCTTCATGGGTTTCCCCCCTGACGCGCCAGGGTGGCAGTTCTACCACCCCACCTCTCGCGGTGTTCTGTCCTCCCAGGACGTCACGCTTGACGAGTCGGTCCCCTACTACCGCCTCTTCCCCTATCGCACTCCGTCCCTCCCCCCGCCGCCGCTCTTCCTTGTACCAGGTCCCCCTCCGGTAGACCCCCTCCCCCCTCAGGGTCCGTCCCCTTCAGGTGTGTCCCAGGTAGACGCAGTCGAGCTTGTCGAGGTCACTGGTGACTCTGGTGCTGCTGAGGGTGCTGAGCCTGCGGGTGCTGACTCTGGGGGTGCTGAGCGTGTGGGTGCTACGCCTGGGGGTGCTGAGCCTGGGGGTGCTGCGACTAGGGGTGCTGAGCCTGGGGGTGCTACACCTGGGGGTGCTGAGTCTGGGGGTGCTGAGCCTGGGGGTGCTACGACTGGAGGTACTGAGCCAAAGGGAGCTGGGCCTGCTTGTGAGGCGTCCGGAGGTGCTGGGCCTGGAGTTTCTCCGGGTGCTTCGTCTTGGCGGGAGCCACTCTCTCCACAGGAGCTGCGAGAGTGGGTTGGCCGACGCTGGAGGCGTTCTGCTGGGGCTGGAGTTTCTTCGGCTGCTGAGGGTGCTGGTGCCGCCAGTCTTGGAGGTACTCGTACTGGAGGTACTGGAGCTGCTGGGCCGGCGGGTGCTTCTGGAGCTGGAGCTGCTGAGGGTGTTGGCGCTGAGGCTACTGGTGTCGGTCCTGGCGGCGGTGCTGTTGGAGTTCCTGGAGCTGGAGGTGCTGCTGGAGCTGGTGCTGCCGCTGGGGGTGCTGGTGCTGTCCCTGCTGTGTCTGGAGTCGCCGCGCGGCCTCGGCTGTACTTCGTTCCGCTTCTTCAGCAGGTTCTTGGTCTCCCGCCTTCTACTGGTCCTCCTCCTCCCTTAGAGTGTCCACAGCCTGTCCCGTCACAGTTACAGTTACAGCCCGCCTCCCCACTGCCTGCTCCTTCTCCCTACACGGGTCCTACTGGAGGTCTTGCTGAGCATCGTGAGCCTGCGTCTCGCCCTACGTCGCCTGTCCGTCCTGCTCGCGCTAGTGGTCGTACTTCTCGTCAGCGTCCTCCTCCTGTCCCTGGCACGCACCGGATGTCTCTGCGTCCGTCCACTGCTCCTCTGCGTGCCCCGTTGCCTTCTCCTCCTGAGTCTTCTCTTCCTGCTCTTGCCGACCCGGAGTCAGACTCTCTTCGTGCTGCCAGTCCTACTGTCACGCGTCTCCTTGCGACTGTCGTCACTGACCCTTCTTTTGAGTCCACTGCTGCGTCTGCCCTAGTTGCTGAGCTCGTCGACTTTGCTGCTCGCTGTCGTCTAGACTACGCTGCTAGTCTTGTCACTGAGTCTGGGTCTGTTTGTTCAAGCAAAAAGCAAGCTCTACAAACAGCAAATAAGCAAATGTGGGAAATAGATACAAAATATATTGTGTAACTGCCACCAAGGTTACCAGCTCTTCACATAGATTTTTCGAGTGTAGAGCCCTAGCCGAAGCCACAGGTTTCGAATTCCAAACCACGCACCTCCTGAGGCTGGGATTTGTTGGATGTGCAAATCTACGTGTGAGTTACTTCGAACTGAACCGAGCTGGCTACGTTCCGAACCTGGAAAGCTGCGAGAAAGTAACTACAGGGACACTTGACATACCACCAACATACACCCAAGCAGGCCTGTCGAAGTCCTTGGGATCAACACTTTGAGTCTTGAGCTGCTCGAAGTTTGGCCCTGATTTTGACTAAGGTGACCGTTTTTTAGCCCTTAACGATCACGGGCGCAGGTCAAAATCAAAACTTGAAATCCAGGCGTCCTAAAAAAATGTACGTGAACCATAATGGCACAAAGGCGGATGTTAACCTATTACTTAGCAGAGGGAAGGAGTAAGCTAATACGACTCATGTGTATACCTACAGCAAGGGGGGAAGTGGTGGGGAGGGGAGGAGGGGGGTCGTAGGGCAAAACATCGTCAGCAAAGAAGTCATTTAAACTCGTGTGTACAATCGCAAAGCACTTCCGAGGTGGTCGTCTTTCATGTCGTACTATTAGTGTGAACTGATGGGTTTTCCAGCCTAGGACCTCCCAGCTGTATTGGACGCTAAGGGAAAATTCGGGTGCTCCAAACCAAGCTGACTTTGACTTAGACACTTTACAAACATGGGATTGGCTAGAAAACGCTAAGGGAAAAAACCACTTGGCGTGCTCTCGTGCAACCTAAGGAAAAATGCGGGGAGGGGGGGGGGGGGGGGGGGGGGGTTGGGCAGCCTCGGAAGGCAGGGGGGGTCCTACAATCGGAAACCAAAACTTTCAGACAGGGGAAGGCCTGGTTTCGGCCCTTAATGCATCCGGGGAAGAGTCGACCGAGGCACTTAGTGGCACGGGTGCAGTGCAAATCCAACACTTCATGCAGTCGAGCTGGAGCAAAAGTAGCCCGGAATGTTCAGGGCATTAAGGGCATATGCCCTTGAATCGACAGGCTTGCACCCAACCCGCCACTCTTGGAAGGTGACTTTCTCAAACATACTGACAGGCGCCCACGATTTTTGGGATGAGGGCACGCGGGGCTGAGGGCACGCGGGGCACAGGGCGGTGTGGGTGTGCGGCGGTTTTGTGGGGTAGATATCTACCAACAGTGGGTTGGGGCCAAACCCATTATGGGTTGACCTTCCACTGTGCGGGCCTGAGCGAGGGGAGGCGCAAAAGTGCGGATGCAGCAGATGGGAGCAGCGGCGACGACGAGACAGCGCGGCGCAGAGGGCGTTGGAGTGCGCGTCGGCGGGAGATGACCTCAAGGCGAGACGCGCTGCGCAGGGGTGGTCACTGAGCGAAAGGCGGAACGACGCTGGCGGAACGGCATGCGGGATGACAGGCGGAACTTTGGACGCCCGTGCGCATTCTGTAAAGAATCTGGTAGGTGGGAATTGATCAGTTTGGGATTTGCGAAAGGAATGGGCTGCTCTGAAAGGAGCAAGAGGGATACAAAACACAAATGTCAGATCCGAATTTCCTCGCAAACGCAAACACGGGTGTATTTTCGCGCGTGGGTTACTCTACTGGAAATTGTTCTCCCGCGCAGCACACTTCGGTAGTGGCACATCGTCGCGGCGTCTTCATGCCCCATTCCACATGCTGACACGACTCCGGTTAACCATGTATTGCGAATGCGCCCCGAGCCGAGTTTGTCCCCCCCGGCAACGGCCGCGATGTTCCCAGTGCCTCGCATGCCGCGCCAACGCATGTGCATGGCAGTTGCCTCAACCCGAGGTTACCAGCGGGTATGGTAGACGCGAACCTTGCGGTTTCCCTCATTGAGGTAGGGATTTCCAAGGGGAAAATCTTGGAATGGAGTGCTCACACTGCTTGCTCCAAAAGGCCCTCACACCGTAGCAGCTACCTTCTTGGGTCGTCACGGCTTTCCGCTTCTCGTACCGTTCAGATCTCGAGCCGCGAGAGCGATCCTGCGAGCCACTGAGAGCAACGGTGGAGGTGAGCGAGGGCGGACAAGCTGGTGAGCGCGACAAGGCAGAGAGAGGCGCGGCGGATGGCGGGTGAGGAGGAGACGCGGCTGGGGGAGGTGGCGCGTGACGCTGCCGTGGCAAGAAAAAGGAGGGAAAAGGAGGTGTTAGGAGCGGTGAGGGAGGCAGGGAGAGTGGTGGCGCAGCTGGCAGAGAAGATCGAGGAGGAAGCTGGGAGGATTAGGGGAGCCGCTGTGTGGATCGAGAACAAGTACTACGAGCCCCGGTTAAAACCCAGGGTCCACAGGTTTCAAAAGTAGGAAGGTTGGTTGGACTTAGTGACAAAACCAAAGGTAGGAAGGTTGGTTGGACTTTGTGACCCAACCAAAGGTAGGAAGGATGAGGCAACTACGGGAAACTTGAGACTCCGGTTTTAAGCGGGGCAGCGAAGCGAAATCGCGAGAGAGTGGAAGCGCATTTGCCGAAACCCATGTAGGTGTGCTCAAGCCGCTCTTCCCATCGTGCCACATCAGCATGTCATTCTGCTCTGTAATCCCCCTCCCTTGCCCCGCTCTCTCTCTCCTCCTGCTCTACCCTGCTCCTGCCTGCCTCCCTCCGATTCATGCCTCTTCCGTCCCCTAACCCATCGCTCCCACCCATCTTGCCTCTCTCCGCTTGTCTCTCCCCCCATGGTTCCCCACACCCTCCGACCATAGAACCTCCCGACTCCCGTCCATTCCTCCGCTTCCCGATCCCACTCCCCGCGGCACAGTTCTTGCGCTTCCTTTCTGCAGCTGCAGAGGACGTGCGGGGGACCACGCGAGTGGCATGAGGCAGGTCCGCGCACAGGGGGGGAGATGTGCGCGAGGGGTGGGGGAGGACGCGCAAGGGACGGCAGTGGGGGAGGCGGTGAAGGCGGAGGAGGATGGGGGGCGAGCGGACGGTGATGCCGGGAGGTATGGGCGTGGAGTGGAGGGCACAAGAGTGGTGAAGGTGGAGAAGATGCCCTGTGAGGAACCGGTTGGGTGCGGTGAACGGGGCGTGGGGGAAGGCGCGGAGGCTGGGGAGCGGATTCCGTCGAGTAAGAGGCTCCGGGAGCCAGTGGAGAGGGCGAGTGGGGAGGGGAAGAAGCAGAGAGACGTGGAGGGGAAGGGAAATGGTGTAGTAGTGAGAGAAAATGGGGGAGAGGAGGGGTTGAGGGGGGCGATGGAAGAAGTGGAGAGGGCGATGGAGGAGGTGCGGGGGTGTGTGGAGGAGCGGGTGGCTGAGATTCTCAAAGTGGTGCCGCGGGTTGCAGACCGGTTGGACGGGAGAGCGTTGCATGACGAGCCGGGGTGGACGTGGAGAGAAGCCATGGTGCATGCCTTGTCGCAACCTGGCATGGCAGAGGTGCGCTGGTGCTGTGATGCACGACAGGTGGGCACATGTCACGTACTGCATATTGCATGCACCTCTTGTGCGTAGTGTGCTCTCCACACTTGTCGAAGCTTCTGAGGAGATGGAGGACTCGTGGACGTGAGAAGCACTTCTGTTAGCGTTGCGCTGCATCTTTCCCGTCGTGTCCTTGTGTTGACCATAATCCCGCCCTATTCCTTTGTATTATGACTGAAACTGTTTTTTTTATGAAATTGATGTACACAATCGAATGGCCATCAGATGGCTGTGCCATGAAAGATGACGAATTAAGCGAACGCTGTTAATTCTAACCTTTCTACTCACTCAATCCGTGCTCCTCTTATATACCCGAAACTTTCTTTCTTTCACCGTTCACCTTCCTACATCTCTCCACTCTCCCCTACTTTCCCTGTATCTCGCATCGCTTCATGCATCCCTTGCTGATTCCCCTTTCCCCTTACCCATTCTTAAGTTGAGATCTCGTTTCCCCTGACCACCATGTGTGCGTGCTGGTGGGTGCAGATGCCATCACAGCGCACGCAGACGCCATGAAGGCCAAGGAACAGCACGTGAGGAGGGGGGCGGCGGGGGCGGCGGGCGCGCACACGCGCGGATGGGGCGGCGGGGGCGGCGGCGCGCGCACGCGCGGAGGGGGCGGCGGGGGCGGCGGGCGCGCGCGCACGCGCGGAGGGGGCGGCGGGGGGCGGCGGAAGCGCGCACGCGCGGAGGGGGCGGCGGGGGCGGCGGGCGCGCGCACGCGCCGAGGGGGCGGCGGGGGCGGCGGGGGCGGCGGGCACGCGCACGGCGCGGGGGAGGGAGGGGGCGGCGGGGGGCGGCGGGCGCGCGCACGCGCGGAGGTGGCGGCGGGGGGCGGGCGGGGCGCGCGCCACAGCGCGGAGGGGGCGGCGGGGGCGGCGGGGCGCGCGCACGCGCGGAGGGGGCGGCGGGGGCGGCGGGCGCGCGCACGCGCGGAGGGGGCGTGCGGGGGCGGCGGGCGCGCCGCACGCGCCGGAGGGGGGGCGGCGGGGGGCGGCGGGCGCAGCGCACGCGCGGAGGGGGCGGCGGGGGGCGGCGGGCGCGCGCACGCGCGGAGGGGGCGGCGGGGGCGGCGGGCGGCGCGAGCACGCGCGGAGGGGGGCGGCGGGGGCGGCGGGCGCGCGCACGCGCGGAGGGGGCGGCCGGGGCGGCAGGGTGCAGCGGGCGCGCGCACGCGCGAGGGGGCGGCGGGGGCGGCGGGGGCGCGGGCGCGCGCACGCGCGGAGGGGGCGGCGGGGGCGGCGGCGGGCGGCGGCGCGCGCACGCGCGGAGGGGGCGGCGGGGGCGGGCGGGCGCGGCGGGCGCGCGCACGTGGCGGAGGGGGCGGCAGGGGCGTAGGGCGCGCGCACGCGCGGAGGGGGCGGCCGGGGCGGCGGGGGCGGCGGGCGCGCGCACGCGCGGAGGGGGCGGCGGGGGCGGCGGGGGCGGCGGGCGCGCGCACGCGCGGAGGGGGCGGCGGGGGCGGCGGGGGCGGCGGGCCGCGCGCACGCGCGGATGGGGGCGGCGGGGGCGGCGCGGGCGGCGGGCGCGCGCACGCGCGGAAGGGGGCGGCGGGGGGCGGCGGGCGCGGCGGGCGCGCGCACGCGCGGAGGGGGCGGCGGGGGCGGCGGGGCGCGGCGGGCGCGCGCACGCGCGGAAGGGGCGGCGGGGGGGCGGCGGGCGCGGCGGGCGCGCGCACGCGCGGAGGGGGGCGGCGGGGGCGGCGGGGCGCGGCGGGCAGGCGCGCACGCGCGGAGGGGGCGGCGGGGGCGGCGGGGGGCGGCGGGCGCGCGCACGCGCGGAGGGGGCGGCGGGGGCGGCGGGCTGCGCGCACGTGCGGAGGGGGCGGCGGGGGCGGCGGGCGCGCGCACGCGCGGAGGGGGCGGCCGGGGCGGCGGGGGCGGCAGGCGCGCGCACGCGCGGAGGGGGCGGCGGGGGCGGCGGGGGCGGCGAGCGCGCGCGCACGCGCGGAGGGGGCGGCGGGGGGGGCGGGGGCGGCGGGCGCGCGCGCACGCGCGGAGGGGGCGGCGGGGGCGGCGGGGCGCGGCGGGCGCGCGCACGTGCGGAGGGGGCGGTGGGGGCGGCGGCGCGCGCGCACGCGCGGAGGGGGCGGCGGGGGCGGCGGGCGCGGCGGGCGCGCGCACGCGCGGAGGGGGCGGCGGGGGCGGCGGGCGCGCGCGCACGCGCGGAGGGGGCGGCGGGGGCGGCGGGCGCGGCGGGCGCGCGCACGCGCGGAGGGGGCGGCGGGCGCGGCGGGCGCGGCGGGCGCGCGCATGCGCGGAGGGGGGCGGCGGGGCGCGGCGGGCGCGCGCACATCGCGGCGGGCGCGGCGGGCGCGGCGGGCGCGCGCACTCGCGGCGGGCGCGGCGGGCGCGCGCACTCGCGGCTGGCGCAGCGGGCGCGCGCACTCGCGGCGGGCGCGGCGGGCGCGCGCACTCGCGACGGGCGCGCGCACTCGCGGCTGGCGCGGAGGGCGCGGCGGGCGCGCGCGCACTCGCGGCGGACGCAAGGAGCAGCACGACGGGACAGCTTGTCCGCAGACAAGTCGCGGACAAACGCCCGAGATCCCCAGACACGGAACGCCGACGCATCGCCAACCTTCCCCGTCCACAGCAAAGCTGGGGAAGTCTCCGATCTGGAGACCCTGGGCTGAAGGTTGATCTGATGCGCGGCGTACCGAACCGCAAACGGCCACAGAAAATGGGGGGCAGCCGCATGCACCATGGACGTACGGGCGACGTCCATGACTATGCCGATGCGGCGCTCAGCAATCCCATTCTGCTGTGGAGAGTCCGGAAGCGTGAAGGTCTGGCGGATGCCTCGTGCACGACAGTAGGCTCGCAGAAGGCCGGAGGAGAACTCTCCGCCTCTGTCCGAGTGCAGACGCAAAACAGGAAAGTCCGAGCCGAAGCTCCGCCTGAGCTGGAGATGAGCTGCGCGGATCCAGTCGATCAACACCTCAGTGACCTCACCCTTGCTGCGCAAGGGGAAGACTGTGGTGTAACGCGAGTAGTCGTCAACCACCAGCAGGAAGTAGCGCTCGTGACCCTGTCCACGGACGCGGGCAGGGCCCCACACGTCCATGTGAAGCGTCTGCATCGGGGCCTCCGTCGGAGGAAACGGGGAGGAGTGAGGGGTAGCCCGCAGGCGACCCTCGACACAGGGGACACAGGGAGGGCCAGGCCCCGGAGGAAGGGGAGGGAGGGACCGGGGAAGACCAGAGACAAGAAGGCGAGAGGCCATGCCCCGGAGACGAGGCAGGGAGGGGTGACCCATGCGGTGGTGCCACAGGAGGGTCTCGTGGGACAGGAGGCGACACGAGCAGGGGAAAGACTCAGGACCAGACCTGGACGCTGCAGCAAACACCTGACCCGACGCAGCTACCTGACCAGACGCAGGAGGAGGAGACGGAACAGTGAGTGTGTACAGGCTCGACCCCGGCCCACGTGTGAATGTGGTCAAGTGTCGACCCGTGTCCGCGTCCGTGCAGTGGGTGTCCCGTCGGCGCGCAGGGGTGAACTGGTCAACCCCTGCATCCTGTAGGTCAGCACCCGCCACCAAGTTCGTAGAGAACGAGGGGAGGTAGAGACCGGACAGGGAGCCAGACGGGACCGCAGGGCACGGAAGGACAGTGGAGTAGCGAGCCAGAACAGGACCCCCAGAGGGGTCCGCCAGGGAGACTTCCACTAGCCGACTAAGCGGCGTGAGTGTGGTGCGGTCTCGAAAGAAGGAGCGAGACGCTCCTGAGTCAAGAGTGAAGGTGAGAGAGGGCGGAGCCGACGCAGTACCTGAGAGAGCAGACTCACCAGCACCTGAGGACACAGACTCACTGGCACCTAGAGCGACAGCCTCACCAGCACCTGGAGCAGCAGCCTCAACAGCACCTAGAGCCGCAGTACCAATGCCCGGGTCGGGCGGGAAACACCGGTAACAGTCACCCTCCTTACTAATAGTCACAGAATACATGGCACGAAGAATAGCATCAAAGTCAAGATCAAAGATAGCTATTCCTGCCCTAGATAGCTGGTCCCAGCGAGGGATCTCAGAGGCGTCAGGAAACTGGCTGCGCCAAGCGTCAGTGAGGCGGCCGAAGCAGTGCTGGGTGGAGTGTGGACCACCACACGGCTCACCCGCACGGTCGCCAGTGCGCAGGACGTAGGTGCACGGACCAGTACCCCCACCCTGCTGACGTGCAGCGTACCACTCACGGAGCTGCTGCGGGGAGAGAGTCTCCTTACCACGCTGCTGCTGCTGGCGCTGACCACCACCGGAGCCACTCCTCTGCGACGAGCCACGACCTCCGCCGCCGCCTCCGCCGCCGCCGCCGCCACCACCTCCGCGTCCACCGCCACTCCCACCGTCGCTGCCACCACCGCCGCCCCCGCCTCCACTCCCACCACCACCGCCGCCGCCGCCCCCGCCTCCACTGCCGCCGCTGACACCTCCACCCCCGCCACCACTACCGCTACCACCCCCACCTCCTCCGCTGCCTCCACCGCTGCCTCCACCGCCCCCGCCGCCTCCACCACCGCCCCTGCCCCCCTTGCCCTTGCCAGGGCAACGTCTCCCACTGGGGGCAGACGCCGCACCGACCGACTCAAAACCAACTAGGTCGGCCGTAGCAACAGAGGCGAGAGAGGGCAGGAGGGGGGAGGGGGAATACCCCTCAAAGATGGGGGCGCGCGGGTCACCACGAGAGGCCCCTACAGCGAGAATGCTCTTCTCGGCCGCTAGGAGGGACTTCTCGAGGAGGTCAACAGTGAGAGTGGTGGGGCAGACTGAGAGTAAGTCGTCCCTGACTCCGCGAAGGGAGTCAGGGAGGCGGGTGACAATGTAGTAGAGAGTGATGTACATGGGGGGGGGGGTTCTTGGCGCAGAACTCAGCAGGAAGCGCAGCGCGGTAGCGAGCGTCACTAGTGCGCAGGTGGGTAATGAGGTCGGCGACTGTGGCAAAAGCAGCAAGGTCGGGAAAGAGGTACGGTAGCATGAGGCGGCTCAGTGCAGCAGTGGCAGGGGAGGAGTAGCGTGCAATAACGGCGTCGTACAAGGTATGA